CATTTTTTTTAGCTGGCGCTACCATCGTCACGTCTTACAGTACCGTCGACTCGAAGTGATTTTATGATAAAATAAACAAATAACGCACTTGAACCACTTTTTGGAGTAAATGTCATTTAACTTATAGACGTTTTGTCATACGGATGAAGTTGCCTTTGAAACTGTGCGCGCACAAAGAATGAATTACCTTGATAATTTACTTATTACTACGATAGTTCCATTAGTTCATTATTAATTTTAGGTGCCTTCAATAAGCTCTGCATGCCGATGCATTTATCGACCTGCGCCATATATTTTCGCCAGAAGTCGTCGTTGGTTTATGTTTCTTTTCGCACCAAGAAGGCACTGCACGTTTACTTCAGGCATAGAAATCTACCATCGTTTTCTATATGCTAAACATCTACGAAGGCGTCTATACAGTTGGGCCCACATCTGTTGCATGTTAAGGCTTGCAGAAAGAATGGTGAGGTTCATATGATCAGAGCCTAACCTTGTGCAAAAAGCGGATTTAGGTCAGAACCTTAATGGGTATAGGAAAAAACCAGCATTCCGAGTCCATGAAGTTTTAACCATTTCTCTTTTCCCTGATGGAGTGTGAAAACTGTTACTTTTTCCACCATAAATTAAATAAAAATCTCAGTTTTAACAAATGTTTTTCTTTTTAGTAAAATCAAATTCGACCAATGTTCGAGTGAGACATCGAGAAGTGTTTACAAGTGCTTTTTCTATAGTCTTCAACGTTACTTTAACGTTGACAAATAAATGGAAATCTATAATGGCGATGACTTCGAACCGTCAACGAAGCAGTTCTATAAACGTTACGTAGAAAGCAATAACAAGCGGCAGTGGCATCAGCAAAATGCAAAATAACTTTTCGAGAAGATGAAGTCTGCGTTTCGACTGACCATAGGCTGATGGCGGCTATTGAAATCGCGCCGTGTATGTAGTCTGCATATAAGATCAGGAGAAGCTCAATATGATACTTTGTTTTACCACCGTGGACTTAGGAGTATTGCTAATAAATGATCGGTAGATTTAATTACAGACACCGACAAAGTGAATCACTCCGAAAATCGTCATATGCGACGATCTGTCACACTTCATACTGTCGTTCACTTTATTTGTCTTCCGAGGAACACAGTTGGGTAGGAGACTGGAAACCGTTGGGCAAACTGCGCTTCAGGCTTTATTTGCTTTGATCTGACGTGACGTGACGTAAGATAAAGCAAACTTGTGTCTGACCTACTGGGTGTTTAATAAAATAATCCTAATAGTTTCAGTTTATGCGCGCAAACTTTAACACCAAATAGACAAAGCGGGTATGAACGATACTAGTTGCGGATAAGTGAAGATCAATAGAGAAAAATCATACTTGTGAAACTTGCCGCAGCTTATTTTTTTACATACCGTTGATTCATTATTATTAAAAATCTGTAAGTAAAAATTCGGCATATGTAAAAAGCTACTTCGTTTGCGTAGCCTGAATTGACTAAATAAAAATAATTACACTTGTCTCTTGCTGTACCCCCGCATAATCCGCTCGTATTATAACATCCTGCAGTCGATGCCTACATGTGAGCTGCGGATGCGTTTTTATCAATCTTAGAGACGCTCACTGCTAAGGTTTGCAATCAGTTGGACGTCGTGAGGACGATACGATGTTTACAAGCTAAGCAATCAGATAAATATCAGCTGAGCGTACAACACCACTTGCCGGCGGAGGAGAGATCACGATTGATGAAAATATGGGCAGGGTCGAGGGAATGATCGGTTGAAAAATGCTCCTTACAAAAATGAGGAAAAATGCCATAAGACGAAGAGTATTGATTTTGCCAAGCACAGCACTTACATATACGTACTCATGTGCGAGCCTGGTCAGAATGTCAATCCTCCGCCACAGTCAATGACTAAATACGAAGCTTTAGCAGCTAGAGGAAACATTGCTGCAAAAAAAAAACGTTATAATCTACAACTTTTTGTTAGATAAGAAGAGGAGGAAAAATAGCACGATGCAATGTCCGTAGAGCAGGCATTTCAGACAAAGTTTCGACCCGCGACTTGACCGTTGTTCCGGAACGAAGGAGCCTGAGTTCTCATAGTACTGTTTGATAACAGTTGTAAGAATGTATAAGCAAGGAAAGTATCATGTCATAGCGAAACAATGCTCTACTTCGAAAATTCACAACCAAGACGACTCACAGTGGATGCATTTTCTCGAAAAGGGAAAGGGGCATAACGAACTTAGCTGGATAGAAAACGGGTAAATAATCTTAACAATCTAGGCGATCAGACGTTTTGTTCCGGATTTTTCATTACAATAAATTATCATAGAACGTTGCCAGGTTTACAAACTGAACCCAAAAGTTACGTAATAGATGTCCCAAGCTATCACGACAGACATGCTTAAAAATCCGTACCAGTAGTATGCGTTGAAACCATAAAATGTTTCACTTAGACTTCCTGAATTCGGTGTCAGTGCCGTGCTCGTTGCTGCCGTGCGCTGGATAAGTAATAGGAGAATATTATATAATCGTAAGTAATGTCAGACCGCGGGCAAGTATACTTGATTAACGTCTATTTGAACTGAGATAAGGTCATTGCTAATGATACCTTTATGTTTGAACAGAAATAATATTTTGCAACGCCAATTATGGCTTGAGTCATCTGGTCTCCGCTGGTGCGTCAGGGGCATTCGGGTTATCAAATTTTATCCAATGCCTCAAATACGATACAAAAAAGTATTACGTTAGACTAAAACATCTTAGATGCTTTGCCATTCCACGGCAGCACCATGTTTGCTAACGACATTACGTAAATCTGATAAGTCGGCCCAAAGCAGTGTTTATCACTGTCGACGACATGTGTCGTTGCAGTCATTTTTCTATCCATAATTTGGGCCTTTCAGACCAATAGTCGTCGTCATCATCAATAATGGCTCGTGTGGACGTTGTGCGGTACCGTAGGCAAGATCGCCTTGTTATCAACTAGTTGAATGTTTCTTATCAATAGATTTCGGCCTATAACGTACAATTCGCTGTCACTGCTGACGAACGTCCACCAACGTTTGGTTCAGCCTGCATTGGCAGCAGCTAGGTTATTATGTTCACAGGATAAACGGACCTTGTCCTGCTAGTAATTAGCTACCAATAATAGAAAAGAACATTATAACTACTGACATAGAGTTCGGGGTAAATTTCTCATAGTGATTCTAGGAAATTAGGACGTCAAATAGAAATAGGCATTTTCAAACAAGCTCTATTCTGCCGTGACACCACCGTTGTCCGATATGCTTCTTTACATGGCTAAATGAATCTAAATGTAATGACTCCTGTGTATCGAAGCGATTAGAAGGGAAAAGTTGGGAACTTTCTCCAAAATGTTTACCAGTAAGTATTGCGAATATCAGAACACCGATGAAGCTAGTTTTATGTGCGAATTAGTAGGAAGTAATACTGAACGCCGGCTGACCAATCGGATCGTACTAACTTAAGTTAGGTCCCAAATGGTCAATCAAACATTTAATAGAAGTAAGTAAACTCAAAGTATACTCAAAGATATACTGTGAAGTCGCTATCGTAGATAACTAATCTTCGTAGTGAGGCCAAACTAGATTGTTGTTCTAGCAGAGATAAGAAATCTACTTCTACCATCTTCAATTTGTCTCGCTTTGCATATTGCGTTAATGAACGGTTTTAACTATATATATATATATATATATATATATATATATATATATATATATATATATATCTCAACAGATAGTGACGGAGCAGCAGCACGTGTACTCACTAAAATTAAACGGAGATTGTTCAAAGATATGACCACGTACACAGTGGATGGTTCCGAAATTGGGGTCTGTTTAAACGACAGGCAGGTACTTGTAGATGAATTTTTACAGAGTTAACAACCCATATACTCCTCTTAGACCGATTAAAATTTGACCTTAAAATATACGAGTTCGAACGAATTGTCTTGCACACTAGCGAAGAATAAACGAATCCAATTTTCGACGATCTCTTCATTTTGTCAAGGTTGTCAACCTGATATTATTGTTTAACGTAACTTTGGTGATCAGCTCGATGTTCGTAGACACTGAGTGGCCACTGTTTTTCTCGATATAGTAAAGACCCTAGAAAAATAAATTGAATAAACGGAAGCATCATTCTTTTGTGAAAGGTTCGTCTCGCACTACTATTAACGGAACATCTTACCTTAAAACAGCGCCAAATTTGAATCAGGCAGCAGTAAATTAGTACGATTGTCGTACCGAAAAATAGTAACTAACGTGAATTTACTATATGATCTACATCTGTGATATCTGCCAACAGCGGCACCCAAAGCACGACAGCTCGCGCCTATAATCATGGCTTTTAAGATGAAAAAAGTTGAACGCTTCCTTTTCGCGTTTCGTCCACCGGCCGACTGACCGACCGATGGATGGATGGACGGACGAAAATGGAAATCAAGAAGTGATATCAGTGCATAAAAAACGTAATCTCAAAAATTGCTAATAAAAAACAATCTGTCGCGTAGGTTTATTGTTGTCTAGCAATGGCTCTTTCCATCGAACTTACGACGGTTACATGTCTCTTACTTAAAAGGCCTACTGCGCTATCTAATCTGTGTTTGTCGTAGATGTCATCAATCAAAGATCCAATGCTTGCTCATAATGTCGTTTCGCTATTGGATTAAATTGAATATACACACAGTGAATACATTGTAAGTTTATATTTAACTAAATCAATGTATGTTTATTTAATAAACGAGAGTTTAGAGACGTCCGAGGTAAAGACTTAAAAAACGATTCACACAAATGCACTTAAGCCGAAAATGAAACAATCACTCAAAAGAAACACGATTGAGACGCGTAATTCGTAAAAACACCAGTGCTGAACAGATCGTCGACCATAGAACGGTGATAATTGGCTTGGCATAATTAGAACGAGACCCAACCTTGACCGTAAGTTAAAGGATAAACGTGTTTTTCGATAGGCACTTACCTAATAGGAGAATCTTTGACACGCTGCTCTCTTGCGTGGCAAACTGATTTAGCTGACGATCGATTTCTTCAGAGCGCAGCTTCGCCTCCTTATAGCTGCCATTTACCGTAGTACATTGTGCGCCCATCCTGTTGCTTGAAGTGTAAAGAGGACCACCTTTTATTCACTCCGTGAAGTCGTACCTTCTTGCAAACATTGCAGTATTCAGTTCACATAATCACTGGACGATTATTAGCACGCTCACGTTCATATCAACATCACGCAAGACCGTACAATAACGGAAAAAGCTTTTAGACCCCGCTCAACCACCAAAACATTGCTGCTCTATTCCACAATAGATCAGAAGCATTGTCAGCGTTGTCTGTTTAACATGGTTTATTTTAATTGAACATGAGGCTAACTTAAGCCTGCTACAACGTCGTCGCACCCATACATAACCATCTGACGCTAGATTAGCGTTCGCGGAACCACCGTATGAAGTCGAACACGTAATAATAATAGCAGTACTATTATTATTGGCAGGAGCGGAAGTTGCATCTAACGCGCTTCGAACGCTAACTGCAACGCGAACGTATCGAAACGTCCCCACTCTCAGTCTACTGATGATTGCCTTTTCATATATTTTTGTCTAGTCCACCTAAAAGCAAAGTGTTGTCGGCAACAATTGTAACAGCGTCGTTTCCGTCGCTGGCGCCTTCGTCATGGCGTTTTTGACGTTCTATCTATTCGAGCTCCTGATTTTTATTTGTTCTTTACCCTTTTCCTTTTCGTTCTTACCCTCCACTGTGACGCTCTCTCAATCAAGACATCACATTGGCTGCTCAGAACTGATCGGCCTCAGTGCGCCACGTTCGGCGTCGACGGAGCTTTGTGACCAGCTATCGTCTAGTCGGAATGACGCCGGTGAGGGTTTGAGGGGTGGGGGGTATACGTAATCTGAATGAATCTTAACGCGCTGGTAGTTATCCTCAATACTAATATCTGATGCTGCCGTAGTCCGCACCGCTTCGGTTCTTCTTAACTACTAGCGATACATTTATTTATATTTAGTGCCTGGTTTTGCCGGTAACAAAAGTGCTGGTGACGGTCCGCAGCTGGCGGCTGTATTGTCCGATCTGTCTGCCTTTAGTGGAAGTGAGACCTTCTCTGACTGGCAGCTAGACAACGGCGGATGCATCGACGAGCAAGCAGCGCGTGTGAACGCCGGCTCTGTCCTGGCCGCTTTAGTCTTTTGGTTCCCACAGGTAAAACCTAGGTAGGACCCTCATCGTCACGCAGTGACGCCGGAAGCGATGTTGACAGAGAGGCAGACGCACAGGTACAGAAACTAGCAGAAAGAGATATAGTAGGTGGGAGAGAAAAAAACACATGGATCGTGGAAGCCGCAGTACATGAGATTTGTTCCTTCGAGAAGAACTACAGAACGCGCTCATAAATAGTAAGCATACACCGCAGGTGCGCTCTCCGCTAAGTTCTATTCGTTTAATGATGACGATGATGATATTAACGGCGTCGTATTCCTGACCCTGTTCCGGTCGGTGATTTCATTAGCTGGACACAGGATATGTACACATAAGTACGGATATACGCAGTACATCAAAAAACTAGTAACCGTCAACTACAGAACGTGTCGAAAGTTCGGTCGTACATAGTGAAGAACAAATCGGTTACACTGGGCGTGCACTAGTTGATCATCATTTTAGCTTCTACTGCTTCAAATAGCACTGGCTGAATAGTCGGCCACGCCGAGCTATTCGCGCGCCATCCAATCCAGACGGTTCACATATGATCATTTGCATTTGACGGTCTCCTACCTTTTTATTGCATGTGGCACTCGTTACGAAGTTTGCGTGACACTATTTCAAAGCTTTTTTCCTCTACTTCTGCTTCGCGGTGCTGCTGTCTATTGGATACTGTTATTCGAGGTCGAATTCGTGAAGCCAAACACTTCGTCCCACCACCTCCTCCTCCGCAGGGCGGCAGCCGAACGAAGTACGAAGTGGTCTCTTTCGTCTTCACGCTCTGTCGCCGGCTCGCCTGGTGATTTCTAACTCGGAGATACTCACTCGCAGCTGATCTTCTCTCTACGGTGTTTAGAGCGATTCCAGCGCACGATACCAATCACTTGGCAGCTCACTGTCGTGTTCTAGCACACGTCCCCTATCGTGCTACGAATGTTTGTATGCTCCGATCATTCAGATGGACTTGTTGCCCCGCTCAGAGCAGCCATACTACCAGGGCTGAGAGCTCTCCGAAGAAACGACACCAACGCTACTAGCGTTGTTGAGTCCGTGAGAGCCGAGTCTGCCAGATTATCCCTACGTGATGTTCTTACGAACGAACGTAGGAGACACTTGCCCGGAATGACGGAACTAAATGTAACCAGCTTCAGGTCCTTGCTAGAGGGACTCCCTTCTATTAAGCCATCCGCTTCCAATTTGGAACAGACTTTCGAAACAGCACGAAGAAGTACGCGGCACGCTTCTAATCAGAGGAATCATAGTCCTGTTCGTTCCAATTTAATGTTGATGTTCCCGTGCGGGTGTTTTGAACTGTTTACGTCCACAACTTGCGCGTTCTCATCTGAATCATACACTTTTGAGACGCTGCAGTCAGTCACTCAGTGAAACGACTCAACCCTTCCTTCACGAGGCTGCTCTGTTGAGACGTAGCTGCAGTCCACTTCGATTTCTTTGTCACCTATTAGCCGTTTTCGTTTTGTCTCTAATTGACCGTACGAAATTTAGTAAACTACCACACCACTGTAAAGCTTACATGATCCGTAGCATGGCTGGCTAGCTCTCTAGCATAGTTGTTTTCTATGAGACGTAACTCAACGGGACAAAAATCGACCGGCGATCATAAATCCAGTACCGTTGATGGTGCTCCTGAAGTCGGTAGTATGTTCGCTATGCTGTAGTGTCGCGGATCAGCCCTGTAACGCAGAACGCACTGTTCAGCGCGGGACCAATGCTTTTGTCGACCCAGGCAGCAGCGCTTCGTCGATCCGTCGCCTGACGGGCATGGACGGAGGACGGACGTCGCGGCAACAAAACAAGAGAGGGCCCCTCCCTACCCACGCCAAAGCCACGGCCTAAGCTGAGACAAGTACTGACAGCAACATAAGCGTCAGACACGGTAGCAGGCCGAGCTGTTCGGTGCTCACCAAGCAGACAGCCAGAGAGGACGGGAGAAAGAGTGACTGGCAGTCGGCAGAAGAAAGCTACCAGCATGGCCATCGGAGCTAGCGCCAGGGTCGCGCTGCGTAGCGCACTACGGGTAATGCGAATAGTTGTAGAAACAGTAGATCGAGCTTGGCAGGCAACTTAGTATGTTACCACTAGCAGCAAGAACGCCAAACCGGTCGGGCTGGCAGCTTCATCAGCTTGTGCGGACTCTCCCCTTTATTCCATGTTTGTCTGTTCATCTGCCGTCCGTCCGTCCGGCTATCCATCGAGCAGCAACAGTGAGGGAGCTGGCTCAGCCGCAGAAAGACAGCCAGCCATAGAGTCACTGAGTGCTCGCTAGTTTCACGGAAGAGCGCATACAACGCGACCAAACCAGGTCTGAACATACTGCCGCAACAAACGATGAAAGATGCCGCAGTGTTTTCGACCAGACGACAAACAGCAACGTCAGCGGGAAATAGGGGGCAATAGCGAAAAGAACCGAATGGGAACGAAGAGACAGGCAAGGGCGAGAATCGCCGCCAAAGCTCAGAACCAACGGTACGGCGATCACCGCCACTCAAATGAGCAAACGTTTGCTCTTAGTCGCTGGCCGCCAGCGAAGAATGAGGAAGGAATCGGAAAAAGCTAAGAAATTATGCCGCTGCAAACCTCTTCGGCCACGGGAGGAGGACAACATACAGAACCGTACTGTTCTAACAGAAAATCCTAGCAGCAGTAGTAATACTAGCGCCATTGGGCCAAGATTTAAATGGCGGAAAGATTGTTAGCACTTTTGATGACCACCCACACCTATATGGAGACGCATAGAATCGCTACACGCACTCGCTTCGTTAAATGCATATGCAGCTACAGAAACTCGTCACAGGGTCGCGCACAGTAGATAGCGACCGTTAATAATAGCAGGGCTCTACGCAACTCTAGGGCTCTGACGTCGACTGGCTAACTTAACGCTGGTTGCTAGGGTGGATGGTCTGCTTCTCGGGTCAACCCGAAACACGCTAAAGAACCCCACGATGTGCGAGTAGCGAAAAGGGCAGAAAGAACCATTATATATGTGGATAGATAAATTCTATTCGAACCGAAAGTGGCAGCGGGCAGGAGTATGCTCGACACATTAGAAAGCCTCGTCTCTCCCTGCTCGCACCAAAATAACAAAGCATTAACAGCGCAAATAGAGCCAATGACACAGACGACATTTACGTCGCCGTCAAAGGAAGCTAGTTTTTTGGGCTCAATTCAGATCAGTTAGTCGGTCGCTAGTGATTCGAACTGGAGTAGGCAGTACCTAGCTGTGAATGGGGCCGTTAATAAAGGCAGAATGCGTCCGCTTCAGAACAACAGCAGCGACAGTATCGTCGAGCCTCAATTATTTCCTTTTATCTCTAGTATGAAAACAGGTCGCAGAGGAAAACAGTTGAAAGCTTGAAACATCATCGCTACGCGTTCCTGCTATTGCTGGTTGATTGTACGGAGCTGCGACATGCGATAGGGAAACAATACTGCACGCAAAGCTACCGAATAGACCGGTCAGTCACCACAAAGATAGCATATTCGTCACACAGTTGGCCATGTCAGGGTCGCGCACTATTAGGGACCTGCCCACATAGTGAAGCAACGAATGAGACGTAATGGAAGTTTTCCTGATACAACAATAGGTAGCACCACCATCGTACCTTGTACAAAAGCTAGCTACTCAAGCAACGGTATTATGAACAAGTTTTTCTCTCTCAATACGTTACCGTATTGCATTTTTTACCACGCGATCTCGTTTGAAACAAGGATAACTTAAGGCAAAACGAGATTTACCGGAGCCAAGAATTTCTCGTGCTGATTGGATCATTTATTAGCAGGTCTGAAGCTTGAGTCCGTTGACTGGTTGCTTGGGACTCTTTACTTTTCAACGTATTGGATTTTGCTGAGAGGTAATTACAAGTGCGGGCAAGAGGCACGTAGACGGGGGCAAAACGCGGGAAAACAATGACGGGCAAGGTTGATGCGTCGATCTCGGAGGACGGCTGAATGAAACACAGAAAATCCGTCGAGACGGCGTCAGGGATGCTACTCAATTATTACGTACATCTAAATTAAAATCTAAACATAACAGAAATGACAAGCTTACATAAGTGGAATGAAAGGCTTCAGATTGATTGCTTCGTCACAAACGTTGTTACCTTGTAAGTGTCGAGCATCCATGTGCATATTGTACCTAACATGTACCTATCAGAAACGATCAAATAGCTTATTTTTATAACTCCTGAGAAGAACATTGCTCGATTAGTCAGTCAAATTTTTGCAGATATTTATGAGAAATTCAGGTGGAGCCAAGCTAGGCACACGTGTTATGGAGAAAAAAAAAAACAGATTACGAGCAAGCTGCGTAATGATTTTACTGGTGATCAAGCGGAACTGCACGGAAGAAGAAATGCAATTCAATAAAATCACCCAGTAAATACTTTCTAGTAGAATTTCGATGTTATATGGTTCAGGTGCATGTTATTAAGGACTTCAAATCCTAACGTCCTGATCCACTCATTCTGACGGTACCATTAGAAACGGATTTTCAGCTTAGCTGTGTCCTTTTATTCTCATGACTGCAAAGGATTTAGCTTGGCATCTGTCGATCTAATTCGATTAGTTGTGCTATGGACGGCCCACAGCTCAATGATTTTACGATCATGCGCAAAACTAGCATGTAAACAGTAAAAAATAGTTATTTTGCCATCGCCAGATGACTGAGAACGGCACGGTGTATTATGCCCAGGTAACGCAGGTCAATCAAATACTAACAAGCTTCAAAACAACTTTTAGACTTTATCATGATGTTTATCAATGCAGTGCATAAACATCTGCGCTTGATTGGCCGGCATAGCGATTACCGCGGCAGAATCTTGTAGCTTCCATCCAATATAGCCTATCAAAACGATCTTGAGCTGCATTCGGAAAAGACACCGAGGCTTTAACTACTTTTCTAGTAAAAGAACCCCCGATATCAAACCTCGACTTGGTTTTTTTACCTAGTGACAAAGCATCTACTGTAAAAGTGATTTATCTAATAAATTTAATTTGTCAGTTGGTTGTAAACAATAATAGTAAGAAACTAATAGTGAGTTATTTGCTATAGTCCTCGTACAAGACCAAACGTTTATCTCACCAAGAGTGTACGTACCATTATCGTTACAAGATCGTCTACTCTTGTAAACAATTTATCTTGGCAGCTGCAGATAGCCATGTCCTGTGTCCCAAGTGGATTGCCACCAGAACGAGTAACCGTTCTTTACGTTTGCTGCTCATAACGTCTAGTTTAGACGTAAACCTATACTTCCTCCGTCTGACCTGGCACCGTCGCCCATTGCTTTGAACTCGCATGTAGTTATCCGGTTATTGAGTCCAACTACTGGAGCATACATCCGTTCGATCCCTCTGTAACCGTATCTCAGTATTCTGTGCAGATAGGGTCAATATAAACTACTTACAAGTTCTTTTTCGGTAATCTTGAGTGGAGACACTATTCGTTCTCCAAGCGAGCCTCTTGTATGTCGGATATATTCGATTCAAGGCTTAATAGACAGAACCAATAGGACGTAATGAGGTCAACTTTTCTGCGCAGACCATATGGTTATTTTAGATGCTGCAAAATATGAGACTGTGGCAGCGTGTGTGGAACAAGTGTCTCACGAATAAGGGATTAAATACATCTGAGCGGGATATATTTCGCCTCAAACGGTCAGTTGGTGTAAATAGTATTGGAGCCGATAAGAGGCTAGCAAAGCTTTGCGCCGATACGAAATTTGTGTACCAATACGAAATCTGCCATATGTGCCTGAAGAGTACAACGAATCCGTAGCAGACCCTTCATGTTTAGTTGTTCGATTCCATATGTCCATAAGCACTTCAATGAACAGATCGACGCATAGGTTATTATGTGATACTGCACACGTGGTAATATGTAGGTACCTTTAAGTGAGCGCTAAATAAACGTAGTCTGCTAGTTCTGCAAGTCAACTCGAGAATACATTTAACCCATAGTATGCAGTGGTACAAAGAGGGAAAACTAAGACAACATAATCTAAAATGTTTAATTACAGTGTATGTGTAAAGCATCGAGTAGATAGTATTATGAAGTTGCCTAAAAACACCCATCTCAGTTACGCCTAGTGCGCTAATGAACCCGTTGGTGAAAAAATGCCTTGTCGCTGCCTCTCCTGAAAACCACTATCGTACGATACAGGCGCTAACTGCTCTGAAGGTCCGCTTAGTTTTTAAACCAAGCACGCCGAAATGCGAGAGGTTATCGAAATGTCGGCATTTTTTTGCGTCGCGGATCGTTCCATCCGTGACTTTATTAAACATATAACAGAACATTTCTCGCTGGCACCGAACGTTCGATTCGCCGTTGCTAAACCCAAGTATGATAGCTCTCGTGTGCGTCTTAAGCACACCGTTGCGTTAGATGTGATCAATGCACATTCGACATTTACGGTGCGAGGGTGCCGTCTGCCGATCACTTGCATCTGTGAAACTGTAATTTATACGATATCGTCCAAAAGTAGGGAATCTGTTCTTTAACGGAATGTAGCAGATCGTTAAATATTGATTTAAAGATTCGATCTGCTTAATGCTCAGACTCATATAGCTCAGTGGTTGTACAGCATAATGCAACATGGTTCTGCTTTCTGGAATGGGTCTGCGTTAGCTCGACCTCGGGCTGACCCATTTGCCTCTGCTAGCTTTAGGACAGCGTTCGCTGGATGCCCGATCTTGAGCTGGGGCGATGCCCGAGAGAATGTAGCTCTTTTAGGACAGGTGACAGCCGGCGAGTTCATTACTTGCGCAGGTGAGGCTTCGTATGTCAACTCGTTGTG